GTGTGTGTGTGTGTGTGTGTGTGTGTGTGTGTGTGTGTGTGTGTGTGTGTGTGTGTAAAAACACCCAACCACATGCATTATATTTATTTACCGATGAAACACTAAGAAGAATGGGCTGGGGTATTGTCATGTGATTATAAGGCCAACTGGACAGTTACCAGTGTCAAACCTAGGAATGTTTGGTACTTTTCAAATGCTTTAGTTCTTTCATAGTGTATGTTTGTAACACTGGATGAGAAAAACTCAAATCATCATCCTGAATTTGCACTCTATCAAACATATCTAGATTTGACATTGGCAACCCCCCATTTTGGCCTTATATCACATAACCATATGGCCAACCCATCCTTGTTGGTGCTTCATTGGTGGATAAATGTACTGCATGCAGACAATTGAATGGTTTTAAAGAAAAAAAAGTTGTGCAATTTTCTTTTTTTCCGTGCAATTGGAGTGGATTAGTGGATAGGTATACTCAGTGTCTTCTATTTATAGTGCCGTCTACAATATAGTTCTTGATGACCCTGATGAAGGCCACAGGCCGAAATGCAATGCTTAATAATAAAGCAACCCTCCAAAAAAAGTCATATTAGTTAGAGTTTTTTTTTTGTTGTACTGTCATGAACTTTAACATTTAACATGCTAAATGAGGCCCATAGAGTCTGAGATGTAGCTTTGCTATATCTGGGCGATACTGAGGCATTTTGTTAACACACACTTGAATGCTGGCAAAACTTGTTCTTTTATAAAGGACATCAGGACATCAGATTAGCAGCAACTAGCTGCTACCTACCCCCTTATTTCTACGGAAGCAGTGAGGGTGTATTTAGTTTTTCATACAACTGCACAGATTCCTGTGAAACTTTCTTTTTATGACTATATATCCAAATCTATTTGTATTTATTTATTTATTTATTTTTACATTCAAGCCTTCACACCGCAACCACTGAAACATCAAGAATCCGAGATGCTGATTCATTTAAAGCTGGAGGACAAACAGCTGACGAGGTATGAAAAGTAACTCTGTTTTTAAAGGCCAGCCACTTTGACTGTTTGTATATGAGTGTGTACTTGTGCTGTCCTTGCTCTAATTGACCAGCTGTGGCTACGTGTTCGGCCTCCTTAAAACCCCCATTGATCCCACAGCCGTTTCACAACAGGCCTTATTGCTTTGCTTGTGCCCTCTGTTTCAGGCGTCTGCAACACCCCTGAAAAGGAGTACAGGAAATAGTGGGGACTGAGCAAGTGAGTGTGCAAGAACTGTGGTGTTTGAAGTGGAGGGGTAGTAATGAAACTGTACATTAGGATGGATATTCTAGAAGATCGGTGTGTTTTGCCACTTTATGGTTTCCAAATCCTATTCATTGAGTCAATGAAAACTACTATACGGCATGCAGGAGTCGATAAATTGATATCTGCAAAAATGAGTTAGTAAAGATTTCTGATGGCATAGGCAGTGTGCAGAGAAACATCCCACATTTGCAGTTATTAAAATATAAATCTTTTCTTGAATGTCAAATTCAGTGACAGTAATTTAGTCTAAGTGAAGTACATTAACGTATTCTCATTCAAAATATATAATTGCAGGGCTAAATGGGTGTTAAGTATTCTGAAATGCATGCCGTGTAACCTCAAGGTCTGGGTCTGGCTTGGCCAAGAACCATTCGTCACCCCTTTGCTTTCTTCTCCCGTGTACCTTATAAAAGCAAAAACCTTTAAAAACAAATAGAATTGTAATTGCTTTTAGCTGTGGGCTAAGGTCAAGGAATGTGCTACTCTCAAACTTGGCTGGCTTTGATTGCAAGCTTAAGCACATTTTCAAGGAGAGAAACTTGGAAAAGTCTTGGTTAACAGAATTCCATCTGTTTTATAGTCGATACAACAATGGAGATCTGCCAAACACCGCACACCTCACTCTGTAATGTTATACAAACTTTGACCTTTCTCCCTCCAGGACTGTTCTCGGGGGTTGTGGGCCAGGGTCAAGGCCATTAAAGCTGGCTTAATAAGCTGCTGAGGCCTCCATCTGCCCAGCCCCCTCCTACTGGTCCATGTGAGGCCTGAAGGTTCAGAGTCAGCAAAGTTGGAATCTGGTCCTGTCAGCAACCTTCAGAGATGGTTTGAACAGTGTGTCTTGATGGTAGTCTGTCTTTATTTTCGGCATGAATGATACTTGCTGATACATGCTGATCCCTCTTAATGTGCAGTCATACTCATGAAGCAAGATTTTTTTGGCATACTTGCATGAATCCTCAGATTTTTAATATTCTTTGAATATTAGCACATTTGGCACTTTCTTACTGGCGTTTTCGAAGCAACTGCCACTGATAAGTGTAGACAGCACAGGAAGCTGAAGGAAATGGCACATGCATCAGACTGATACTAAAAAGAGAATAATAATTGCTGAAGAACTGCTAAAAAATGTTGCACACTGCCTACAAGCATATCAGCGCTTGCATGGACCCATAATTTGATATGGTATATTACCATTACTATGGAGTTTTATCTGCTCTGATAATGGTTGATTTCACACTGAACAGAGAGTATTTTGCAAATTGTTCTTATCAATTTCATCACTTTTTGGGGATCCAGACATGTAAAATTGATATTTTACCATCCTGTGTCCGTAAAAGAGTTGTTTTTTTTTGTCCTGATGAATGTTTAACATTTGAGATTTATTTTGAATCTGCTTTTCAAACCGCTGGCCTATTTGCGGGATTATACATACCAGCCACCAAGATCAAATACAGTTCTTTTAACTGTGTCATCATTATTTTAGTTTTACTTTTGTCTTGTGGCTTTAGGTTTGTTTATGTCCCTATATTTTCTAGTCAGAAGAGCATGAAAATAATAGAGCAGTGCAATCGCTGTGGTATAGTTTTAGGTGCAGACTTGTTTCTTTTGACTAGGTTTGGTTTGGTTGTGTGTGTGCGTGTGTATGTGAGAATGTGGCACATCAATGGTCCAATCAATGACCACATCACCACCACGAGTCTTTTTGTACTTGTTTTATGGTAAACTTTGTGTTAGTTTCCAGAGGTGGGACCAAGTCATTGTTTTGCAAGTCTCAAGTAAGTCTCAAGTCTT